CTTGATCTCAGTTGATATTTTCTAATTATACTACTTTGAATATATTGGCTGATCAACAAACAATATTTAACAGTCAAACGTTAATTTAAATTTTAATTAGAATTTACTTATATATATGGCAACACTCGAATCTACTGCATTTTAATCATTTTATGTATAACCTGTGGTACAAAAAGTCACCCAAGGACTGTCAATTGTCATTGATACGACTTTCAACTGATATGAAATCAATCTATAATTTCGTATAACCTTATAAGGCTTCAGCAATTCCATTTATTCGAGTTCATATTAGAAGTTAGAACATAGCATTATTATTTACCAATACGTCACGTTCACTCAAATACCCGCGTGTATTTGTATTAAAGCTTTGGAAAGCTATTTTAACATTGCATTACACGTGTATACAGCCTGTGGCTTCTAATATGTGATTGTTATATACTCGTATAAAACCTGTATAGTGTATGATTTATTTTTTATTTTTTGGCTGAATGGCAAAAAATCTTAGTCTATTTAATTTTAAAAGAAATATAAATTTTATTTTTGTCATAACCTATTAATCTCCACAGATAATGAAGTTTGAATTTTTATTTTAATTTGTTTAAAATTTTATATAAAAAAGTAAAGTTACGGGATTTTCCTAATTTATTTGATAACATCTTAAAACTCGAGAAGACGCTGGTGTTTAATAAAGCTGAAAATAACAAACTCTTATCTCACGTTGCCTTAAAGTACTTAAGCAGTTTAAATACCTATCATGGATTAAATACGGAGAGAGGAATATAAAATATAAGTAAGTACATTTATTATTTATGTGTACATAAATTTTATTATATTTAAACTGATTCCGTCATTTTTTTATAATAGTTTTATTTACATCAATAAACTTTAAAATATTTGCATATTTACATATTACTTTAATTAAATAAATTCGATTTGTAAAAAGAGGTTTTACATTTTATTGTGGTATAAAAGCAAGATGGCGAATAAGATGGCGGGAGCTCATGTCGCGTCGTCGAGCCTCGGGCGTCTGAGATACAATCATGATCATTACGTGAAACTATGTCGTGTATTGTATAACTTATATATTGTACGGTTTTATTTACTGTTTGTTTTTATAAACATGTATTGATTAACATAAATATCTTTGATTTGTATATAACTATATATTACTTTGCAATTATAATATATAAAGATTGCTAGTACATTAATTTTTTTTAATTTAATTGCAAATTATACTAAAATATATTTTAATACGACTTTGATAGTCTATGAACTTTATTAGCAAATTAAAAACAGTCTGTATTACGTTACTTAAATATTAATTAAAAAAAATATTAGGTATAGTACATAGTTTTTTAAAATCGAGTAGAAATACTTTTACGGATATAACTATATTATTTAGATCTCAGTAAGTTATTCTCTTCTATTAAGATAGTAACTCAAAATTATCAATGAAATACAATCTTGAATTAATTTAGTAACAAACTAAACATTAAATGCTAGCGTGTTAAGCCAGCACGTTTACTGAGCGACACGTTTATATGATAAAGATCACTTGTTATTGCTCTCGACAGCCATACATTTACGTTATCACTCACAACTCACAAATATCCCACAGACTATAAATAATTTTAATATTAAACATTACATAGAATATATTAAATAAATATTTTGATTTATTTTATTCAGGCTGTATGAGTTATTCCTTTGCCTCAATATTTTTTTATTCTATTATCGAAGTATGTTTTCAAACGAAACCGCGAATACGTCAATTCATTATATCAGTTACATGATTCATTGTGTTCAAAACAAGTTAATCCCAATTTTGTAAGCAATTGCTGTTTGTATTTGTGCTGGCGATTAAAGTGTCCGTTTTAATTGAATTTCTGTGAACAAAGCATGTGCTGATTCGATTGATCGGATTATTCATGAGACCTGAGGTCGCGGACTTATGATCGAAATTCATAATGGAAAAAAACCACAATATAATCAAAGACGTAAACTTGAACGCAGCTGAATATTAGATTTTTTTTTTTTTAATTTTTGTCATACGAACATTCTGCGAGTTATTCCCACAGTCTCCCAAAATGATTAAATTCATTAGAACAAATATAAATATTGTCGTGAGACCCGCATAATACCTGTAAGACAGCGGCTAGTACAAACATGACAATATTATGTTCCGTCTGAGAATTCACCGCAATCTTATTCGGCAAATATTTGAATTGTCCTTCAAACTTGAAATTTGTTTAATTAATTTTATATACAAAAAAAAACCGGTCGAGCGGTTTTAAAACTACTAAAATTGATTACGTTGCTAACTGTGCAATGTAATATTATTTAGTTTATTTTTAAAACGCAGATCCTTAATCGAAATTTGTATTATTTTAGAAAATTTGGTATTCAAATATTGTCTCAGTGGTAATAAATTTTTTTAGAAGAATAAAATGACCAAGAAAAAGAAATGTTTTGAAAAATAATGGATATTTTCATGTTTACGGCTTTTCATTTCTAAAAGCCACGGATTTGTGTCTGACAAATTAATACCAACTTTACGTCTTAAATCTCAAGAGTTTTTGAGGGCTTAAGGAAACCGAAAATCCTAGGTATCGAGTAAAATTTTCATACAAAGAGGTTTTACTGAGGATGAAAACGTTAAAACCATTTAATATTATCGTATAGGGCCCCAAAATAAAATCTTTCCATTTGTTTTCGGTATTATTGGCTGTTTTCCAATGGATGTTTGTAAACTCGATCTACGTTCTAAATTTAAAATTGTTCGTCAAATTTTATTTGAGGCCACCTCCACCTGACGTTGTGGAATCAAAATAAATAAATATAACATTTTATTAGTTTCTAGATTTTGAATATTAATATATAAAATCAAGTTATTTAAATAATAATAGTCATTAATTATTCTTGATTTGTTATTAAGGCCAAATATTGTCTTTTATATAGACCATTGACTATTTAATCAAATCGGTCCCCGCCCGTAATGCTGTTTACGGCTATTAAATTTTAATGTGATGTGATTTTTAATCGCCGCCACATTTCGTGCACCGTTTGTAATGTACCCTTCATTTTTATGTGTATATAAATTGAAATATAAATATTAATTTAAATAACTTATCAATGACGTATCGGTTCAAAAAACAAAGAACTTTGTAATATATTAAAAATTGAATTCAAATTTTATAAAACGTTTTTGAAAATTTTCTTTCTTTAATCGTTTCTACTTGAGATTAAAAAAGTAATGAACTATACGAATACTTTTTCTGTTAATTTCGACGAGTCTCCATACAGAAAGATACGTATACGTAAGATAAGTACCAAAAATAATTTCAATTATAATAGAAGACATATTAATGTTTACTTACGTCATTTAATCTTATATATATAAATAAATTAATATGTGATAATCATGATAGACAGTAGACTCGTCTATATTAAATATTCCAAGGATAAGTGTGATCTAAAATTCTCTTTATTAACAGCTAGCTGGTAGGGCTGGTAATAAATAAATTCCATATTCATCCAGCGACCCTATTTAGAATTTCTAATTCGAGTCGTATGACTTACAAATTACTAATACGATTAGCTCTCCCACCTGGTTTACCAAACGTATTTTGGAAGTATGATTTTGAACTAAATACATAATATATAATTAATATAACATCTATGGCGTTTGATAAAGATGTCATTATTTAATTTAATGTAATTTATTTCATACTTGGATCATAAAATCTCTCCAAATTTAATCCATAATATATTTTTCTGAACACTAATGACAAACTTCGAAATCAACGAAAAACATAAAAACTTTTCGAGAACATGTATTATAAATATTACGAAATATATTGAATGAATGAATGAAATGAATGAATTGAATGAAAATATAGTGTTCTTATAATGAATATTTTAAGAACAGGTTTTATATATTTTAGAGTATAGTCGTTGTATAATCAGTGACTGCTTAACTTGGCTTGTGCCTTTGATGAAGTCACCGTTTTTTTCTTTTATCTTAACTTCATCTCTTTCTGTTACATCGATTATTATATCTTCCCTTTCATTCACACATCTTTAATGTCCAAAATAACATACCTGGAATTTTGTATCAGCTGTCAGTGGGAAGTGGTAGCCATTTTCAATTTTGTCATTTATAGCCCTAATACAATAAAGTTACTAACTCTTTAGTATTTTATTAGTTGATGTCTAAAGAATCTGTTGCAGTTGAACATCGTAATATAACCATAGCCACTAATTTTGACGTTTCGTCAATAGAAGTTTAAGCATTAGTGTAAAAGTCTTATTGATTATTATAATGAAAGTAAAATCTTTAAAAAAAATCTATTCTATGAATTCTGTATATAGATATTTTTGAGTATTATATCTAGACAATACCTATATTATAGCTACTTAAGTACTTTATGACTCTGTACGAGCTTAAAATATCTATTGGTGAGTAAAGATTTTCGATCTTCAAAAGTCGTCAAATCGAATTAAAACTTTAGTTTATATGTATATAATTAGTTATAAATTTCTTCCAATATTAAATTAATTCCTAAAACATTAAACTATATAAATATAAGAACATTTCCAAACAAATACATTCAATGTATTGTTTAATATATCTGTCATCACATCAACGAGTCAATTGGTTTTAATAAACGTGATAGGAGCGGTAGAAACTTGATGTAGGACGGACATATTATCTCATACCTACTTCTCGGCAATTACTTGATTACATAACACAATAAAATGTAAATAAAACAATACTACAACCATTTATTACTTATATATATGTACCTTGTACTTTGTAGTCCCTCTTTTCTTGTTAAAAATTAATTAATTTTAATTGAGATCCAAAACAAAAATCAATATTGAACGCAAGTGTTTGAACCTTTGTGTTAAAATTATCATTGACATACGCAAACACAGATAGTTATCTTGTATGCACAGACATACCAGTTATGCGAATTACAAACACATACATAACTCACCGTGTCCTCTAAATTTTTGAACTCATTGAAGAGTCTGTTGCTGGAGAGCTTCTGATTGAGTGACATCACGTTAGCCGATATAGCGATCATGTTCGCTGTAAGCTGATTGACTTCCTGGCGCAGATTATTGATCTGTACCTCCCTAACAACAGTTAGCACAAGCAACCAGACAGCCAATAAACCCACAGACAGCCCCATAATAACACAACCCTTCCTCCGCCTCCCATTATCACTGCCTATATATCGCCTCTCAAATTCCCCGCTCATTAAGTTCTTTGATAAGTCTTTGACATCTTTCAAGGAATCCTTGTTTGTATACATCGTGTTAGCTTCGGGTATGAGAGCGCAATCCTCAGCCATCACACAACACTTCACTGTATCAAACGCTAGCAGGAATTGAATGATTACTAATTACGGGTCCATTATAGATTACTCGGAAGTCCGAGTATATTTAAGGAGCACGTGGAATGAATGTTTATTAGACGGATACACACGCGCGGTCCACAACGCGGACTAGAGACGAGTGAGTGTTGGGAGGTGACGCGACGACGCTGCGCACGCGCATACATGCACGCGTGTCACATTTTTATGCAACCAAAAAGATACTGTAACCTTCGGTAACTGGTATATTAGGTATACATGTTTAATACAAAAATTGTCTTGATATGAGATCAGCTTTCATTCGATACAGTGAGCCCCTTTCGTAATACGATAAACATACAAAATATTTTTGAGACGAATGGTTAAATTATTTCACTTTCCACTAGTAAATTAAATATATAAATTAACTTTTATATTTCATCGCTGCATTTAATAAGCTATAATAGTAGCTAGTGGTCATTGCAAATACGACAGTCACTTTTACTAAAGATCATTAATTTTAATGAGGGATTAAACTTTGTATTAGTGAAACAACAGTTGTCATATGTCAATAACAAAACATCTCATTAAACTATAATTAAATGAACCAAATCCCCTAAAAATTATTTATCATATAAAATGAATATTATTATAAAATTAATTAACCGAGTTTGCCGACTTCTTTTTTATATATGTAATTTGATATTTTTTAAAAAGTTCTCACATACTTCATGGACGGGTCTAACATAAAAAAATTGTGAAAATTGTACATAACCTTGGATGGTAAAACCTTTTGAACTCTTTAAATGTACTCTTTACTATTTTTTTTTAATAACTGTTAATTAATGAGATCTAAGCCTTTCGCGAGTGTTCATTTAAATGAAACTAATATTTTTCGGATGTACTACGCGATTTTTATTTATATCAAAAACTACATACTTCCGACGTTTCGGTTACTTTACAGTAACCGTGACCAAAGTTTTTAATAAAAAATAAAAATCGCGTAGTACATCTAAAAAATATGAGTTTCATTCAACTGTTAATTATTTGATTGTAGTCTGTAAGTCGTTAATTAAATAAAATAGATTTCGTATAATTCTTACGTAATGTTATAATTGTTTTAAAAGTTCTATTTATAAGAATCTAGGACTAGCATAGATATTCATGACTGGCATAAAAACGAATTATACATAGACTTCACCTCTGTCTTTGGTTGGAATATATAACAGAACAGGAAATGGTCTGCGGGGTTTGCTAGTAATAAAAAAGTAAAACTGTTACTACAGACTTTAAAATATAATAATAAATAAATCTTAGTGTTTCCTCCACACGGTACAAGAATATAATTCGTGCGACAAATAAAAACGTTGACATTGGGAAAATACTAAATGATTTCAGTGTTAATGAAGACAGTATAAAAAAAACCAAAAACTATTTTAACCTTTACAAAGAAAGTTCTAACGTCTGTTGTTTTTGGTAAGTATAACATTAACAAGAAAAATAATAATTACTGTATTAAAAAAGTATAATAATTTATTTACTTCCTTAGCGTAATACATTTAAACGCATAGTAATAAATAATTAACAAATCACAAATATAAAAACATATGACCAATCTCCTTCTTCCTGGCAATTTCCCAGCTTTAGCCAGGGTCTACCAACAAAAACATATGACCAATACATATTCAAAACTCACCACAACCTGTAATGACTATTAAGTAATACGTCGGTAGATTAGACAAAGACAAAAGACAATACAAAAAATAAATACCTATAATAAACAATAATATGATTTATTTTTTTACTTTTTAATATCAACTTCCTTCACTGTTATAATTTTCTTCCCTTCCTCGACATATTAAGTTCAACTTTAAAAACTTATTCTATCTTTTACGCTCATAAATATTTGTAAAAATGATTTCCCATCTCTTTTAATTTATCTTTTATCAATGTACACGAAGCCTGTAAACAAAATGACTCCATATGATCTTCGGTTGCAGCGTTTAAACAACGGATAGCATTATTGCCATATTAAAGCCAAGATCAATTTAGTACGAATGTAAAACAGTTTTATATATACTGCCAATATTATAACTCATTTAAAATTTATAGTCTGTTTCATCATTTTTTCTTAAATACAATCACGAAACGACTTATAAGTATATAAAAGGCTTCTGGTGTGTCCTTTCTATAAGAAAAATTCTAATAATAGAGGATAAAACATAAAGAATATATACAAAACAATATACATATTACCATGTTTATCAGAATACGTTGACGCAAATTGCAGACGTTTCAAAGATTATTCCAATACGTCTCGTTGCTAGAACAAGAACCCACTATCTGATGCTCTAATTATTTCCAGGAATGTCCATTGTTTTATCTCATCTACATATACCTATAATAATTGCTATCTACTGTACCTCTTCGTTTTAAACCTACATACCTGACTGATCCCAGCGAGTGATATACTGTTGTTGTTACTCTTACATACATTACTCCAACACGATTCAAAGCATCTGTCGCTATTCATGCAGGCTGACGGTACTACTACTAGATCTTAAAATGAAATATTGCTGAATTCAATAGTTACTGTGTTGTGAGGAGTGGCAAAGGTTTCGTATTCATTAACGTCTCGTAATGTACGTCGTATACTTGGATTGGCAAGAAGTAATTTATAAGGTCAGAAGAAATCAGTGATATGATGTGATCACCAATATTGATAAATATGTTAATCGGTATGCACTATCAACTGCACGAACCACATCGATATTTCTCACCAGCTTCGGTTAACATATGTTTACATTTTGGTAGTTAGTTAATCCTTACCTATTCTTGACAAAACATGCGTCTTCACAGTTTCCTGTAGTTTTAATAAATGCGCGTATTAAGACGACTTAGCAGCGGGATTATCATTTATTCTGAAAGTTGTTAATGTTGGTTTGTTTATTATTACAATTCCAAGTTCTGCAGATAAATCCTTAACCAATCGTAAACGTTATAATGTACGTCTCACATTCCCAGCGTATGTCGTATATTAGTTGTATGTCGTGTTCATACATGCAAAGGAAATGTTAGCGGAGTCCAACTTCTGAGAACAGAGAGGTCTTAAATGAGTTTTAAAAATATCCATGTACGACCATTTGTGACCTATGAATTTAGTTATGTCTTGGCGTCGGCTTTTAAATACCTATAATAATTGCTATCTACTGTACCTCTTCGTTTTAAACCTACATAATAAGTCAAGGAATTGTCTGTATGTAAAAGTACACAATATTTTTTAATTTTATTTCTCTTTTTCATTTTGTGTCTTTCTACAACATATTGAGTGTTTTACATTTAATGTTATCTAATTATTTTTTATTATAATACCTATTGGTGACAAAAGGAACGTGTTAGTGAAATTGCCTGTACCATTATAGATAAATTAATAAAAATATTTTTAAAATAAAACTTTTATTAAACTCCAAAATATCACATAGTCTAAATTATCAGATGTCCACCATTCTTGATCTCCGATGACATCACACATCCATGTACGGAACGACATCGAAAGTAAACTCGAACACAAAACTCAGCATAATCAGTTCTTTGTCAAGTCAAAGTCACAAGTTTCTTCCACAATAAAAAATAGTATTATTTATTTATTCTTCATAGAAAATAATATAAAAGCTGCTAAAAAGGAACTAACTACATATAAACTTGGCTGAAAGCCGAAACAGTGACGTTATAGTTTTGCTTTTTAATAAGTATTACCTCTTATATAATAATTTACATTATGTGTTACGCTTTCTTTTATAATGGAATCCTATAATGCTACATTCCTAAGTTTTTAATTCTTTTTTAACATTTCTTCATATTCTGTATGAGGAACACATATTAGTTCCATCACGTAAAATATAAAATTTACGCCAATATATAACGTCTAGGAACAACAACAAATGCTAATCAATCTTAGAATCTCAGATATAGCATGAGGTTACAGTGGTGAAACTTCGTCCCGCTTGTTTACAGTTTCCAATAGCTTGTTTCGAAGTTGAGTCTATTGACTGGAGCATCAGCTAGCAAAACTTTCACCACAGCGCAAACAACCATTATTTACATTTGACACGAATTCGAATTACTCTTACTGAAATGATTTATGTACTAATATAAATTTTGCTACTAACTAGGTTTAATAAACATTTATAGATAGTAAATAGTAAAGCGATTAAATAAAACTAATATTTTTCGGAAAGACGAAACCTGTAAGCATCCAATTGATTCACGATGCGGGTGCCGGGTCCATCACATTGCAGGGAGAGGAGCTTCAACAATGCCTGGGACTTGCGACCCAGGTGTAAGTTTGAGGGGGCCCTATCTAGGTATTATGCGTGCTTTATTTTTGTAAAAAACTACATACTCCCGACGTTTCGGTTACTTCTCAGCAACCGTGATCACGGACAGACTAGATATGAACGTCTGTCAATTGGTCCTGTTATTCATCATCTACGTAGATGATATAGTTTTATACAAGTATAAAGCACGCGTAATACATCCGAAAAATGTTAGTTTCATGTAAATGAATAAAACTCGCGAAATCTTAGATAGTAAAGCATTTTAGGCATTATTACGATCAATACAATTCACAAAGAAATTATACATCTCATTTAATTTCATCTCTGGTACAATATTCAGTACGTCAGTAACAAAAACTTAATTAGCTCAATTCTTACACATAACGACTTAATTAATACCATACATTACTTTTTAAGAATAGTACTAATAATTGTTATATTAGACCGCACCGCCTGGAGCTGCTACTGTTAAATTGTTCTTATCAGCGGTAATTGAAGTTCTGAGAAGCCCATGACTAACGTCGAGGTAAATATAATAATGAAGCTTGTTACTAGTCTCTACTTACTTTAATATGTTATTATTGAAATTGTTTCTAAAGAATATAATAATTATCTTGTTATATTTTTTCTTGAACAAAACTACGACTTATTTTCGTTTATTAT